TTTATTTTTAAAAAGTGCACATCTTATTTGTTTTTACGTCTTTCTTCTATGTTTATCTTTAGTATTATAGCTAGATCAAACATCGCTCATGTCTATCATTTCATGCAAGAGAAAGAAAATATTGATGATCACACCCCAGATAAATTATGATGGGTTTAGGCTTAGATTTATGTAGTTTCGAAAATATACGAATTAGTACTGCAGCTGAAATTGAAATGAACTATTACTTACTTCTTCTAATTGATTGCAAAATGGTGAAATATATTTCATATGCTATACTCGAGCAGATCTTGTTTTTTGAGACAATGCAGTCATCAGCCATTTTAGTCTTTGTATGTTTTAAGTAATATTGAACAACTGAACACAGCGTCGATGTGATTTTCATCTGTCTTTTTTTCTCCAGCTTACTGTTATAGATCTAGTATCTGCACTGATATTCTTAGCTTCACATTTGATATGTATGTTTTATATTATTGATTAAGATACGAAATAGCTTCCTTTGATGCGCTCGTTTGTCCACATGGTTTGCAATATATAATGGAGTGATTTGTGATGTACAGAGGATCGCTTGATATGATAGAAAATAAGAATTAACGAAGCGTGAATGTAAGAAAAGAAAAAAAAAGAGAAAAGCTTTCGTAATCATTACCTGCGTCACATAATATAATTAATACAATGAGAAGCTTGTTGCTATCGAATATTGTCATAGATTAACTAATGTTTACGATTGGTTCTTTCCATATACAAAGTTATTTTAGTTCTATGAGCTAAGAAAATGCTCTATGCTCTTCAATCATATAGGATAATATATCTGTTCTATCATTTTTGTTTAATCCCATGAAATATGTTAGTTAATCTTGCTACAAATGTATCTATGGAACTTTTATTCTTTACTAGTAGTAATACTGTTATAAAAGCACAGATATCTACGACATTGATACATTTAATAAACTGATGTTTCGAAAAAAACGTGCTCTTCTAGTATAAGGGGTGTGTAATAAGTTCTGATTCCCTTTCATGTAATATTGTTTTCTTATACGTTTTTTCAGTAGAATAGGCTGATATTTTCAGAATATATACTGGACATCTAGATCTACTCTACATTAAAATTTCAGCTTTCTATCTCTTATAATTAGAGGGATACAAAGTAACGTAAAAATTAATAGAAATTTTCTGATTTATGCTTGTGAGGATTTTGCCACTGTTTTATCAAAGATGTTAAATAATAGCAATGGCTGTAACGATATTTACAAATCGAAATTCTTCTAGAATAATAAACAAAACCTGGATTAATGTTTATATATCTCCTCTCCATCTTCATCTATCAGTTGCTTGAATCGATGGGGTATTTTTTTCCATCATTTGCTAACATGTTGCTGTGGTGAACATTTTCCATTCTTGCGCCACTCGACTTTCAAGTGCTCATTCGTTTTCAGTCCTTTCTCCTCTCAGTTTTTCTTTAATTGCACCCCAAACTGTCTCAATTGTCCAAATATCAGTAAATTTTGCATCAACAATTTCAGGATCAATACATTCGTCAAATAAAGATTCAATAGTATTCATCACAACTTTTGTTCGATGTTTGTTATCTTGGTCATCTTGAAAAATCGGTATCAAAGCAGTATTTTTAAATGCTAATTTTATTGCAGATTTGACTTCTTCTTTTAAAAATTTAGCATATAAATTACTTGATAAATATTTTTTCATATTTTTTTCATTTTGTGGTTGTTGTTGACGTAACCACTTGGTAAAATTAATTGGACCCCCCAAATGGAATGAGTTCACGTGATGAAACAGCTCCCCAAAAATTTATTCCTTTTTGAAATTTATCTGTAGGTGTGTTAATTAAAGATGATGGTATAACTTCTCCCTCTCCCGCCCAAATACCATCATTCCTTTTGTTTTGAAATGGTCGTAAAGTAAATTTGCCACTAAAATCTGTATTCACTATTCAATTCCATTTCCAGTTTTTTGCTGATTTCCTTACTCCAAATTGCATTCTTAATTGTTTGGCACAAATTACTCTTCTAGTTTTATTGCTATCAGTTAACCTTTAGGATCTTTTGTTTTAAACCATTTTAATTTTAATTGTCGTGCAGTAATGTGCATCGTTTTTGGACAACATTTAATTCCTTTTCTGTTTAGAATGGATGTCACATTTCTAATTGACGCTCCTTTCTTTAGTTTTAACAATGAATTGACTTAGTCTTGAAAAGCTGATGTCATTACTGTAACAGAACGGCCTGACCTTTGTTTATCAGCAATTGTATTTCTTTTCAATAAGAGAGGATTTTCTGAGTGTGGGTGTGGGTGGATGTGGGTGTGGGCATGAGAGAATTTAAGGTCAACATTGGAAAGCAGACCTTCACTCATCCACACTCACCCCCACCCTCACCCTCACACCCACATCTCACACCCACACCCTTCATATGGTACGGTAGCCTCTTAGCCTGTGCCTTTAACTTTCAAACATCTTATCACTGGCATCATTTGCTAGCATTAATAACCTTATCTTATATCCACAACTTTGCAGTCATTAAGTTTATTTTTATCATCAGAAAGAGGCAACTCTGTTCGGTGCTCTGTAATCATCAGTCAAGTAGAATTTTCTGCTCAGTTAACGGGTATAGACTATAGATCTTGTAGCTTTTTGTTTATATTTTTTATTGAAAATATTCTATTTCTTTCTATTTCAATGGTAATAATACTGCAAACTTATACCTTACTCAGCAAAACAATTAGAAAACAGAACACAAGAAGTCTACAAAAAAATATTACAAGGAACGAAAAAAAAAACCTTCTACTAGCTTAACTTAAAGACTAAACCTTAATGTAATTTTAAATTTTAAATTTTAAAGTTAAAGGAAAGATAACAGCAAAACAGTAAAAACAATTTATCTTTCTTGTCTCATTCATCAGCTTGGTAGAGGTTTATAGAGCAGAACTAAAACGCTGATCGTTATAGGACTATGAAAGAATGCGCATTTCATCTACATTGAAGCAATGAACAAATTTATTTATTGAAAACGTTAAATAAATAAGTAGAGATTTCAAATGCCTAACGTTTAGTCTTAGATCAAAAATACTTTTTCCTTACACATAGTACCTATTCATATGTATATGTTAGTCTGTATATTCGAAACGATTAGCAACTGTGTGGCTATCTGACAGCCGTCTTTACTAGGAATAAGCTGCGCACATTTTCATTGAAATCTTAAGTTTTATTTGTTCCGATATCGGGAATTAATAGATTTAATCGAAAACGAAATTATCTCAAAGAAAACTTTAGAAAAATTTAAAAACTTTACAAAAGTATCTTTTTATTATACATACGATATTGAAAGATAAAACAAAATATGTAAGTATTGTTCTTCGTAGAATTTTAAAAACCAAGGTCATTCAACATGCAATTTACGTCGACATCTTGGTGTTGTACATAAAAAAAATTGAATATTTCTACAGTTCTCAACGAAAAAAATATCAAGAAAAAAAAACATTTATTTCTGCTGGACTGAAACAACAACTCGATGATAAATTTATTAATGCGATAATAGTTGATTCACATTCTTTTAATGACTTTGCACGTCCTGGTATGAAATCGTTTCTTGCTACTGTAGTACCAAACTACAAGCCATTACACAGAACAATTATTCGACGAAGACTTCATGTTTTATACAAGCAACATCGTTTTAGCACTTCGAAATGTCTTAGATAATATACCACATTTGGCATTAACAACAGACTTATGGAAAAATAGTCGAAACCGATATTTTATTTGTTTAACTGGGCATTTTTATGATAAACAAAAAAAGCTTATTTCTATTACACTTGGGTTTCGTTTAATACGAGAACAACATGTTGTCAATCGTCCTAAAAAGTTCATCAAACACGAAATCATATTTTACAAAATTGAAAAAAAGTTCGATCCATCACCATTGACAATGCACCAAACCTGGTCAATGCAGTTTGTGATTTCGAACTTGGCACACACCATTCCTGTACGGCACACAATTTGCATCTTATGGTCAAATTCACAGTTCTTCCATCTAAGAAAGACACCAAGTAAGAGAAAGGCACCATATTTTTCGAAACGTTACAGATAGGAAAGAGAACATGTAGGCTTATTCGAAAAAACAAGATTCCTATGCTAATTTTGGATAAGAGTAAACCAAAGGATCAAGCAAATTTCTTTCTTACTTAAGCTATCCTATATTTAGCACGGACTCAATAGCCAAAATTTTTTTGTGATAAAAGTACAGTGTGAAAAATCTCTAGAAGTTTCAGCTCCGGTTATTCTAAACACTGGAGCGAAGGAAATCAATCTTCCAGTTCGAAACATTTTTCTGTAAGACACTCGCAAAAAAATTTCTAAGATTTCTTTAAAAAGACCTCGGTTCGAGTAAAGTAGTACATCGTACTCATCTATACAAAATGCAATGAGTTGACCAGACAAACTCATAAAATAAGTCATAACAACTACCAATCTAATCCATTTTTAATCATTTACATTTGTATTATTATCTTGATTATTCATTACTTAAAAAAAACAGGAGAAAATAAATATGTTGTTTCGATTTAAGGTATATTATGAATTATGTCTAGCTGTATTTCTATCTTTGTTATACCTCAGCATCGATTTCGCAAGTCACAAGTTTTTAGAAGTATAATATTACTAATAATTCCATATCACTATTTCTTGTCGCTCAGGGAAAGCTTTATGCATCTAGTCCTGTTTTATTTAAAAAACAGTATTAGAAATGACTTGGATTACAGTAAAAGATAAAAAATCCCACAATTTCAATCAAGAAGGTATGGGAGAAACACGAAAATTCATAAAAAATAAGTCAAAAGAACTCTCCCATGTATAATTTATACTCTCAAATATAAACTGAGCGAAGCTGATATTGATCGAGATAATAGTTCGAAGTATGCAAAAAGAAACTGTGGCGTAGTATTCAAAAATGAACTGTCATTTAGATTTAAATTGTTTTTTCTATTGCTATTAATCAAAAACATATTCTTTAGATCTTCATATTTAAATTCATTGCAAAATTCACCATGAGTGACGTTGATTTTCTATCAGAACCGTCTACGGACGATGATAGTGATAATGATGATGATGATGATGATGATGATGATGATGATGAAAATACAACATCGAACGCTCAAATATCTACTGATGAAGACGAAAGTTTATGATCTTCTGAAGATGAGCAAAATGATGAAATTCTATCGATTGATGTTCAGACAGATCCAACTTTACAAGAAATTTGTGTATTAATTAAACGAGTTCGTAGATTCGTCAGTCTTGTTCGTAAATCATCAAATCTACACGAATACGTTCAGCAACAAAAAAGGGAAAAGAAATTATCTGGTGATGTAAGTAATTGTTTGTATACTAGAAATATAGTGTGTCAATTTGAAATTGAAAGCCTATGGATAGTGAATACCATCAGGATTAGAACTGAAAAAACTTTACTAATTATATCGCAAATTGTAAAATCGGCAGATAAATAACATGTACTTTAGTGCCTATTCGGTTTGTAGAGCCTGTAAGAAATTTAAAATAATCTTAATCTAAATAACGCACGAGAGTTATTGACTTTCTTGAAAAACAAATACTAGCATGCATAATATCAAGAAAATTTAGCGTACACAATGTAATATAATAATGGCCTCATTCGCGACACACGGTTTCAAACACGTTAGCAGAATTTCAACCAATTCGAAGTCTAATCCAAGTACAATCATTGTTTCAAAACTGTCTAAAAAATCCTGGGAGTACTATTTAGTCATTTTTAAAGGTTTCATACTTACTTC